GTCGTCCTTTGTGTGTTTATGGTGACACCATTTAAGATGTACTCACCTTGTAAATTTCAGTTATACAAAAGTTTGTTTGTTTGTTTGTTTGTTTTAAAGTGTAGTTGTAGGACTTTTGGGTCTCAGTTTCAACTTAAAATTGAAAAAATCCCACTGTCCCAGGACACATCCTGGGAGGGGCACATTCTTTAGTGAGAGGACACTTTCTAGATTAACATTCAGAAGAAAAAGGGAGAGGCTGATTAACATTCCTCAGACCACAGGGAACCCACCTGTTGGTGAGGAAGGCCCAGAGCACACAGACACATTCCAGGAGAACCAAGATGAGAGGCAATCAGGATGCTAATCTGAGTCACCTAGAGACCTGACCTGGGAAGGTCATCCTTTGTGGTTGCCCTTGTGAACTCTATATAAAAACTGTACCTGCCAGGCAGTGGTGGCACACGCCTTTAATCCCAGCACTTGGGAGGCAGAGGCAGGCAGATTTCTGATTTCAAGGCCAGACTTGTGTACAGAGTGAGTTCCAGGACAGCCAGGACTACACAGAGAAACCTTGCCTCCAAAAACCTAAAAAACAAACAAACAAACAAAAAACAAAAAACAAAAAAACAAAAACAAAACAAAACAAAAAAAACCCTGTTCCCAACTTTGGCTTGGGATTCCTCTTGTCTACATATAGGGGAACCCCAGTTTACTGGTTAACATCTTAGCATCAATAAACATCATGTTATTGCAGCAAATCCCATCCATTAGTGTTTCTGGGTGAGCGTGTTCCTTGGTTTTGGATCTTAGAGTCCAACATTTTGGAGGTCCCACCGAGATTCACTCGCTCAGACCCCACAGATCCAGGGATCGGATGTCCACTCACTTGAGCAGATCTGTGTGCTGTCTGTTCTTTGTTTTTGTATCTGTGAAGTGTCTCTGCCTGTAGCAGGGGCAACTGTCTATGTACTGTGTCTGTGAAGTCTCTGTGCGCCCATGGCAGGGGCAATCATCTGTGTAGGCTGGTTTCTGTGGTCTGGGCAAGGGCAAGAACTGGGTAAGCCATGGAGAGCAGTTTGTGACCCTGGGATAGGGTCAGGTTTCAAGGCCCCTGGGATAGGGTTAGGTTTCGAGTTCCAGCAGAGAATTTGTGGGTAGTGGAAGCATTATAGCAGACATGTCAGCACACTGTAGGCCACAGTTCTCTGGAGGACCCTCTGGAGTTCATTTATATGGAAGATAGGGTCAGGAACAACCCTTCTTTGTCTGAAGGTAATCTTTAGCCACCACCAACTGGGATGGTGTTTGTTGCACTCTCATGCAGTATGTCCGTGTCTAATTCTGTTTCTGTTGTTTATTGCTAGTAGTGTTAGAGATCTCTTAGATTTGGGCCAGCGTAGGCTGGCCAAGTCATCTGAATCTATTAAATTAGGTCCAGCATAGGCTGGCCAAGTCATCTGATTATTGGATTATTTCACTGGCAGTTTTTCTATGTCTTGCTTGTGTAACATGGTTTCTGCACCTGTGAGAACTGTCTGTATTACCTGCTTTATGTGCCTCCTGTGACAGGGGTAAGCTGTCTGTGTTGTTTTTCTCTGTTTTCTTGGCGAACTGTCTGTGTGTTGGTTGTGGTTCTATGTGTTATTGGACTTTGACTGATGTTATTTTGGACTGAATCTACTGTGTTAAACATCCTAATTAACTATTAGAATGAGGTTATAAGAGAGGTAACATGGCCACCGGCAGATGAGGAGTTGGAGCTGGTGCAAGAGAGCTGCTGCAGAGCAGAGAGGCAGGTCCTTCAGCAAGTGGGCACCGAGGTTTGGGGAGCCATCCACAATGCCTAGGGTGTTCTTCAGGTGGCAATGCACGGAGTCGCGACAGCTCACGGCTCCCCTAGCGCTTTGCACTTAAACTGCCCAGCTGTGCAGGTTGACCGCCATGAGAAGGAAGTTCTGTCCCTCTGCTATCAGCAGAGGCGGCAGTGGGGCAACACGGGACAGCTGCCTAGCCTGGCATGCGTGGCTGGGCTGGGGACCCGGGGTTCACTGCTATAGCAGCCCAGAGGCTTCCCATCTGCCGTTTGTGAGAACCTTGGCCTCTGGTCCCTTCTGGTACAAGAACTCAGACAGCGGAGGAGAGGAAGAGCCACAGCACAATGGCTGCAGCTCCTGGTCCCCTCCCTTCTCTCCATGGCTGGTGCTAAAGAATCCGTGGGCATCCACAAAAAGATAGGCAGGGCCCAGGTGATTAAGAACCTGGCAGAGAAAAAAGGCAACTTCCATGAGCCATGGCAGCTGGACAAAACAACCCCAGTGAGATTATTCACCTGAGAGTTATAGTTATATATTTTTTATTTAAAAAGAAAAAGAAAAAAGAGTGAGTAGTGCTGAGAAGAGTCATGTGACTCCAGCTTAGACACTCTGAAACAACAAATCTGCTTGCAGCCACACCAGTTGGGAGACGCAGTTCTAGTTCAACACCACCAAGCTGCCTGCGGTGTCCGACCATGTTTAGCCTGTGGAAAAATGAGCTATACCTGTGGGAGCAGGCGACCAGCTCCAAGGACTTGAAGCCTCTGGGTGAGGCCGGTGCAGCATTCCAGAGGACACTAGAGACCCTGCGGTGTGTGGGCAATGGAGTGCAGCACAACCACGAGGCAGCCTTTCAGGACATGATTCAGGAATTAGACATTACCACTCTGATATTTTCCCTGGTCCCCTTTTGATTCTGTTTTTTTGCTTCTTAAACAGATTAGTTACCTTTGTTAGAGAGAGAGTTAGTGCTGTTCAGCTTTTATTGCTATGGCATCAATATCAAACCCTCAGACAGGGAAACGGAAGCTATGAAGATACTAAAATACAAGATTCATAATCTAATTTATATTAGAAGTGAGGTTAAGTTTTTATGATTAAAAACTATCATTAGAAGAAAGAGGGAATGTAGAGTGAAAAATTATAGATACTGGGTATATAGAATTCTTTTTAGACATATAAAGTATTCTTTAGGCTTTCTTTATAAAGACATGGAGAAATCGAGCCATGAAGCAAGTTAAGAATGTGGACAGACTAGTTACGGGAACTGGCTAGAATGCAATTTAGCCAGGTGGAACCAAGCTGAGAACCATAGTGACAGGGCAAGGCTGAAGTAACAGGGCAGGACCACATTCTTGAGAAAGATAAACGTACAGAGAGTTTTCACCTGATCCTGACTCACATAGGTTGGGTTCCTTTGGAATGTTCCACTATTTTTATGTTACACCACCCTAGCAACCCCTCCCCCCCTCCCCATTCCTTAGTTTGTGGTTTTTCCCTTTAAAATCCCCTCTCAAACTGGCTGTCGGGGTCAATTCAGCTCCTGCGTGGGCATACATATTGACCGGCAGCTAGCTGTCACGCCCTAATAAACCTCGCAATTGCTCTGTGTACATGGTGTCTCGAGCAGATTACTGGGTGGCCCCGACTTTCTGAGACTTGAGTGAGGGTCTCCCCTCTGCGGAGGTCTACAACCTGCTGTAAAAAGTTACAGGCTGTCCTGAGTCAGAGAGCCAAAAGAATAGGCCTCCATTTTGGTACAGATACTAATTTATAGTAAAAAAGAGTAAGTTAGTTACTCTCTGCTTAGGGTAGCCACCCATAAGGACCTTTGTACAGGTGATCAAAGCAATAGAGCAAAGAATCTTTAGGCCAGGATCCCTCGGGCACCCAGACCAAGTTTCCTACAGAGTTACCTGGATAAATCTAGCAGAAGAACACCCTTCCCCCAATAAAAGCCTTTCTTCCCCAAGACCCTTGTAGGTTCTGGCCATCAGGAGTGCTCTTCAGGACCGAAGAGCAAGAGAGATACAGGAAAAAAAATGATCCCTGACACACGGGGCACTATTGATTGACCAGATTGTGGTCAATACTGGGTTGCTTCTGACCACACCTGACGGGGGCCTTCATGCAGCAGAAGGTAAGGGGCATCTAAATGCCCATCCCAGATTCCATTGGCAGGTCTCAAGGGGGCTACAAGGCATGTGAGGTTAAGCAGGGATCAGATGAGTTGCCCACAGCCTTTCTAAAATAGCTCACAGAGACATTCTGTCAGTATAGACAAGGCTATTAGATACCAGGAAAAAGCCTCAGAGGCTAGAGGGACTGCAGGATAAGTCGTTAAAAGATTTAGTATAGTCTATGGCCATACCAACCTGAACGTGCCCAGTCTCGTCTGATCTCAAAAGCTAAGCAGGGTCAGGCCTGGTTAGTACTTGGATGGGAGACCACCTGGGAATACTGGGTGCTGTAGGCTTTAGAAAGAAAAAAAAAAAGATTTAGTATAGGGTGCTGAGGAAGTCTACCATAATAGGTAGACATAGAAAGAGAAATAACAGAGAAAAAAAAAGAAAAAAGAAAAGAGTGATGAAAAAGAGAAAGGTGACAGGAAAAGAATTTCCAGAGAAGCTTGGCTATAGTAGTTAAGGGAAAGCAGAGAAGGGAGACTTCAAAGGGAGATAGAAAACTCCTTGAAAAGGACCAGTGTGCACATTGCAAGTAAAAGAGCCAGCTGCTGAGCCCAAGAGTGCCCTAACAAATGGAAGCCAGGGTCAGGAAATCCCAGGCCTTGGGAAAAACAACCCAAATGGCAAAGGTATTAGCTCTGAGTCAAGACAGCAATTAGGGTAGACAGAGCTTGGACCCACCCAACTCTTGGTGGACACAGGGACTCAACACTCAGTCCTCCTCCAAGCCAATGGTCCTGTTTCCAAAGAAAAGATCTTGGTTCCAAGAAGCCACTGATACCAAAATGTATTCATAGACTATCCAAAAAATGATGGACCAAGAGATGGGCTGGGTATCCCATTCATTTATGGTCATCCCAGACTGTCCCTACCCTTTGTTGGGTCAAGACTTACTCCCCAAGATGGGGACCCAGATACACTTCCTGCCTGACGGGCTGCAACTAACTGGCCCAAAAGGAGAACCCACGGGTAGAAAAAAAGACTTCTCCTACTGACTCCTGCCAGGAGTTGAGGCAACCTCCTTTACAGATGGGAGTAGTTTTCTCCATCCTGGTCAGGGACAAGCTGGTGCTGCTGTGGTGGATGGCACAAATGTCCTCTGGGCTGAGCTTCTACTCCCTACCCCCAGGCACATCGGTGCAGAAAGCAGCCTTACAACTTGTGGCTGACAAGAAAATTAGCATCTACAAGGACAACAGGTATGCCTTTGCCATAGCCCATGTCCACAGGGCTATATACCAAGAAAAAAGACTGTTCACATTAGAAGAAATCTTAGATCACTTAGATGCTCTGATGAAGCCAGCAACTGTCAGTACTTGTTGCCCAGGACACCAGAAGGGAAGAGACTCAGTGGCCCCAAAATAACCAAACAGATCAAGTGGCTTGAGAAATGGCTATGCAGGAGCCTTTCCAGATTATGGACCTACAAAGAGACACCCACTGGGAATTGGGACTAGATTAATAGATGGCCTCACTTAAAACACACAGAAGAAAAAAAGAACTCAGATTGCTACCCACCCTAACAACTATTACCTAGAAAAAAAGGACAATGGTGCACATAAGAAGGGAGAACTATATTCCCCAAAAATCAAACAAAAGACTTACTAGGCTAAATGCACATATGGACTCTTGAGAGATAAGTGCATTCTAGCAGTCAAGGGATCTAAGGTATATAATGGAACTCGGGTTTTGGGCCAGAGAGACAATAAAACAGTGTAAGGTATGCCAACAAACAAAGGGTTATGGGGCTTAGAGTAAACAGGAAAAATACCTAGAGGAAGACAGCCTAGAGTATATTGAGAGATCAATTTTGCAGAAGTTAGGCCAGGGAAATATAGATACCCTCTAATATTTGTAGATACTATTTCTAGATGGGTTGGAGGGCTTTCACCACCAAGCAGGAAACAGGTGATGCGGTATCCAAGAAGATAACAGAAGAAATCGTCCCTAGGTTTCAAGTGTCCGAGGTAATTGAATCAGATAACGGTCTTGCTTTTGTTTCTAAGGTAAGTCAGGGATTGTCAGAGATATTGGGGGCTAATTGGAAGCTCCATTGTTTGTACTGTTCCCAGAGCTCAGGGCAGGTAGAGAGAATAGACAGAACCTTAAAAAGAGACCTTAACTAAATTGCCCTCGGAAACTGGTGCTGGCTGGGTGGTGTCCCTTGTCCTGTCTCTGTTCTGAGTCTAGAATGCCCCTCTTGTGTTGGACCCCTACTCCCTTGACTCCAGCTCTTGACTCATCCCCTCCCCAGAAGTGACTTTTCAGGCTAATAAGAGGCTGTTCCTGGTGCTGCTGACCATCCTGACCTCCATTGAAGTAGATAGAGTAACTGTTTGACTTTGTGTAACTCAGACCAGCACCTGCACCTGATGCCAACTGGAGAGCAGCCAGACACCTGAGCAACCCCCTCAAGCTCAAGATCACCTGCTGTTCTACAAGGCCAGGGAAACCATTAAATGGCTAAGGTGTATCTTCTCTCCCGCGCTGAGCCTCATCAACCCACACAACCTTACTAAAGTGACTTGGCAAGTACTCTTAACCACTGGAAATGTGATTTGGTCTTCTAAAGTGGAACACCCACCTTGTGCCTAGCTGCCAGACCTTGTCTTTGATCTCTGTAAGTTAGCAGCAGGCCTCGACTCCTGGGATATCCCCACTCTAGAGACACAGGGGTAGAGATTACCCAAATGTCGGGGACAAGGGACATTTGAATCTAAACTGTATCCCAGAAGCAGCCTTAGAGGGTGGGGCTTAGGGCGCATACACCCAAAAGTGAGAAGTGTCCTGTGAGAAACCCCATACAGGGGCGCTCCCGATATGAGAGAAGCTGACAGCAGGACCATCAGTGTATGTGTGTAAAGGAACAGCTACTTTTTCTGTGTTAGCTAAGGGTGTAGAAAATTGAGAAGTACATACTGGAGACCATCCAGGGAGTGGGAACAAGATAGTTAAAGATTCAATGACAAAGATATAGTTTGAGTCTTGGTTAAACTCCTATCTCCTCTTAGTTTATTACCTTGGTTTCTGCCATAATGTGACCCCTTATAATCTTGCTTCTATTGCTCACCTTTGGCCCCTGCATTCTAAATCGCTTGGTTAGATTTGTTAAAGATCCTGTTAATACCATACAAGTGCTTATGCTTAGACAACAATATCATGCTGTACATCAGGATGACAACTTGTGATTCCAAGATTGGAATCAGTCACAAGAAAAGTGGGAAATGAAGGAATCTCAGGTCTCAGTTTAAACTTAAA